CGGGGCGGCCGCGCTGCCGCCGCTCCTGCTTTGCGGCCCGGAAATGACGGCTTTTCGCCGGCCCCGGGTCTTGAACTCGGGGCCTGGGCGCCGCCTGTGGCTTTTCCTAAGCGCCGCGGTTCCATGGAGAGAGGAGGTCGCGGCCCCGAGCGAGAACCGACCGGCTCCCGAGGCCGCTGTGGCGGGGTGGGGCCGGGGACTCAGTTCGCCGCCCCCTGGCGATGGGCTGAGCGCTTTCCTGATTTCTGTGAGTGGTTTAGGCAAATGATCAAAAGGATGCCAGCTACAAGCGGCTCAGGCCTGTCTACCTGGCTACTCTGGAGGCTGAGATCTGGAGATCATGGGCTGAAGCCAGCCTGGACAGGAAAGTCTGCGAGACTTTTTTTAGGTTGGACGTTGGGCTTGAACTTGGGGCCTGGATGCTGTTCCTGAGCTCTTTTGCTGAAGGCTAGTGCTCTACCACTTTGAGCCACAGGGGCCCTGCCGGTTTTCTGTAATTTAATTCAAGATCAGAGTCTCACAGACTTTCCTGCCCGGGCTGGCTTTGTACCCCAGTCTTCAGATCTCAGCCTCCTAAGTAGCTGGGATCACAGGCTTCTGAGATTTTTACCTCCCATTAATCACATAGAAAGCTGGAAGTAATGCAGTAAGTAGCCCAAGTGGTAGAACGCTCATCTTGAGCAGATAGAGGAGCTCAGGGACAGCATTTGAGCCACTGGACCGGCAAAAAAAAAAAAAAAGGGAAAAGGCTTATGGGAACTCCAAAATTGGCACCCCATAGAAGTGAAGGTAGCCTATAGTGCAGACCAGACGGCTGCTCTGGAGCCCCTCACCCTGCGTGGCTCGGACCCAGGGTTCCTCTGGAGAGCTGGACGGTTCTGTAGGTTTGGGGAAACGTAGTGAGGAAGCTGGTGGAACAGATGGGTAGATGAGGTCCTCCCTGGCTGCCTGCTTTGCGTGGTCCAGGTCCCAGAAGGGCAGGGCTGGGGCAGGGAGGAATACTGACCCGTGCATGGACCTAGAAGAGTAGAAAGGCTTGGTGAGCTCCCTGCAGTTTCTTTTTACATTTAACTTAAAGTGTAACACTTGATACAGGTAAGAATGTAGCTAACATACTTCCCTTATAAATTTGAATGGTAGTTTGACTAGCCTGCCCCAGCGCTGCAAGGTCCTCTCTTGTGGCTGCCTGAGAGCTGCCTTCTACTAACAGTGCAGTGGCCAGCGATGTCTGCCACATCCTTGGTGTTGCCCCCATTGCCTGAGGGGTTGGGGTGAAATGACATCCCTGCCACCCTGCTGGCTTCTGTACTGGCCAGCCCGACCCCTGCCCTGCCAGGGGTGATGGCTCTGTCTGGTCTGCTGCCCCACGCCCGCCCACACCCACGTGCCCCTGCCAGCAGCACACAACAGCTTGTGGGTGGTGCGAGTGAACTGCTAAGTTGATGCTTCTGTTGGAAATAGGAGGTGCCCTTGGCGTTTATTTTTCCAGTGATCCTCAGTCCATGCCCCTTGAATTGCTGCTTGCTGTGAAGGGCTGTCCACTCTTTAGGAGCCATGTAGCTGTTCACCTCTGCCCCACCAAGCCAGCTGATGGTGTGGGGAGGAGGGATGCTGGGAGATGCTACAGGCCTTGACCAGGCCACCCAGCACCCCCAGACCTCACCTCCTCACTGGGCTTGGCACTGACACAGTCTGTGAGGACTCCAGAAACTTACATTGGAGGGTTTCTATGAAAGATGCCCCAGTTCTCCAAGACTTCCCAAAACACCTGTTTGAGAAGTATTTGTTTAATGTGTTTTGTTTTTGTCGTAGGTAGTCTGGGGGACCGTGCTTGTCTCAGTTGTACCAGGACCGTGGCGTTGAGAAGCCAAGAGTAAGTAACAGTGCCAGTGGACTTGTCTTTGGGGGGCACTAGGCATGGATGGGACTCTTACTTATTGGGAAACAACAGATCTTGCTTCTCTGTTTCATTTCTTTTAAAATCCTTGTCTTTTTTTTCTTCTTTGATTTTGGAAGGTTTAAACAGCAAGTGTGTTTTCTCCATTTTGGAGTTAGAAATACAAGGCCAGAGTGGGCAGTTTCCTGTTTTCTGAGCCATCTTTCTTTGACTTATCCATGCCTATCTTCTCTCACAAGGAAACTTTTTTTTGCTTTGAAAACTATGCTTACACATATTAGTTCATTTTGGGCCCTGGGGATGTGACCTTACACACATTAGGCAAGTGTTATCCATGCCGAGGCTGTGTTAGTTCATCTTTGTGTGTGTGCTGAACTCAACGTGTCTGTGCTTTTGCTTGGCTTTTTCCACTCAGAGTTGGTGCTCTACTTGAGCCAACCTCCACTTCCTGTTTTCTGCTGGTTAATTGGAGGTAAGTATCTCAGATTTACCTGCCTAAGCTGGCTTTAAACCTAAATTGTCAGATCTCAACTTCCTCAGTGGCTAGGATTTAGTCATGAGCCCCCAGGACTTCACTGTATCTTATTTTTTAGTGCAATTGTAATCATAGCTCACTACAATTTTGTATACTTACTGTAAGCCATGCTTACACACCTGCTGTTTTTAGTGGCTTCCATGTAGTTGTACCCAAGGCTATTTGGCCATGTAGGGCACTGCTGGGGTGTTGGGACCTGTCTACAGGTATAAAGCAGACCTTTCTTTGGTGCTTTGATTTTTTTTTTTTTTTTTGGGTCCAGTCGTGGGGCCTGAACTCTGGGCTTGGGCGCTGTCCCTCAGCTCTTCAGCTCAAGGCTAGTGCTCTACCACTTGAGCCACAGCGCCACTTCTGGCTTTTTTTTTCTGCTTATGTGGCGCTGAGGAATCGAACCCAGGGCCTCGGGCATGCAAGGCAAGCGCTCTACCACTGAGCCACCTTCCCAGCCCCTGCTTTGGCTCTTGAGGCACATGCTACCTCAGGCCTGTGCCCCATCTGAGGCCACGTTCATACATGAGGGACTTCGCTCTCCTCTCTGATACTCAGTGCTAGTCTCTGATACAGGTGGTGACAGGGCAGGTGAGGGTGGGCAGCCATGGGCAGTTGAGAGGGCTTCTGAAGGAAGTGGCATCCACACCCCCCGTTTATGCAGACGTAAACTCCCCCCTGTGCTGTGGTGTGCCTCCTCTACCCCACCTCTACACCTGCCTGTCTGAAGCCATCCGTCCCAGCTCCTCAGCTCAGAGCACGTCAGCAGAGCTCAGCCCCCTCCTTACGTAGCCTCTCTGCTTCCTGTGGGAAGGCAGGACTCAGCAGCACTTCCTCTGCCCCTTTGGGGTTTGTAGGTTTTGTGTTCATTTAAGGCTGTTAACTTAGCAGAGAAATATTCCCCAATGGTGCTTTCTGAAACAGATTTAATTCCCTAAAATAAAACCTGCCAGTCATCCATAAAGACTTAGTAGCTATTAAAGCACACCATCTGTTTAAAAAAGTTATTTATGTGTGTGTGTGTGTGTGTGTGTGTCTGTGTGTGTCTGTGTGTGTGTGTCTGTGTCTAGCGTTTGAACTCAGGCCTTCGGTGCTGTCCCTGGACTTTTCTGCTCGAGGCTAGTGCTTTACCACTTGAGCCACAGCTCCACTTCTAGACCTTTAGGTTTAATTGGAGATAAAAGTCTTACAGATTTGTCTGTCTGGGCTGGCTTTGAATTGTGATCCTCAGATCTCAGCCTCCTGAGTAGCTAAGATTACAGGTACCTGGGTATTTTGTTTTATAGCCATGAGCCACAAGCATCCAGCCAAAATTTTTATTTTTTATTTTGGCTGCACACAATAAAAAATGTTGAGTTGGGCTGGGAAGGTGGCTCAGTGGTAGAGCGTTTGCCTTGCATGCTCAAGGCCCTGGGTTCGATTCCTCAGTACCACATAAGTAAAAAGAAAAAAGCCGGAAGTGGTGCTGTGGCTCAAGTGGAAGAGCGCTAGCCTTGAGCTGAAGAGCTGAGGGACAGCGCCCAGGCCCAGAGTTCAGGCCCCACGACCGGACCCAAAAAAAAAAAAAAGAAATGTTAGAGTCATGCAGATAATTGGTTATTAGAAACGGCAGCCATTTTTCAAGTTACTTTACAGTTTTAGGTCATCTACAGGTAGAATAACCCAGGCCCCTGTGCTAAGGGTGGAGCATTTTTGTTTTTGATTTTTTGTGGGTCCTGGGGCTTGAACTCAGGGCCTTTGGACGGGGGCAGGCAGCAGATCTGGGCTCCGCTGGCCCGTGCCTGCTTGCCTGGTGACCAAGGAGTGTCCAGCCTGGGAGGCGCTGCTGCCCCCTGCTCCCGCAGGCCCTAGCGCTGCTGCTGTGCTGTCACCATCCTGGCACGAGGGAGACTTCATGGCCGGGGCCGTAGAGGGCATGGCGTCGGGAGCGCGGGCCGTCTCCACTGCGGCAGTCTGTTTCTTGTTGAGATGCTGCTTTTGCTCAGCGGGTTCTCTCACTTCATGGATGATTCATTGGAAAGAGGGAAGGAGAAACGGAGGAAGTCAGGCCACAGGTGGTTTAGCCTTCTGCTGCACTTGGGAGCCAGCAGTATCCAAATGATTTTGTGATTGGCAATTTTTTTTTTAATTTTTATTTTTTTGTCGGTCATGGGGCCTGAACTCTGGGCCTGGGCGCTGTCCCTCAGATCTTCAGCTCAAGGCTAGCATCTACCACTTGAGCCACAGCGCCACTTCTGGCTTTTTCTGCTTATGTGGTGCTGAGGAATCGAACCCAGGACCTCATGCACACGAGGCAAGCGCTCTACCACTGAGCCACCTTCCCAGCCCCCAGCAATTTTTTTTTTTTATTAGTCTAGGTTGACTTAAAATTCAATGTATAGCCCAGGCTTAGTGCTTAACTTTCAATCTGCCTGCTTCAACCTCCCGAGTACATGAGTTATAGGTATGCCCGACCCTGCCTGGCTCAGAAACAATAATTAAATATCATATAATTTGGGCTGAGGATGCAGCTCAGTAGCAGAGCATTTGTCTAATATGTATAAGATCCTAAGTTACATCCCTAATACTGCAAACAAAACAAAAATACCTACATAATTTTGTGCTGTTTGAAAATCGCTAAACTTGTCCACCTAGGCTGTTAGTAGCAATAATCTCTGACAAGCTTGAAGTTAGCTAAGTCTTAGGGCGTAGGCCCTAACCTGATACTTCATGTGCTTCCTGTAAACCATGTGTTGGTCTATTTCTGGGTCTTTGTCTTTTGCCTGTTGGTTGCCTCTGTTGGCATCCTGCCTTGTGTAAGCCATGCTCTTCCTTGCCAACTGAAGGTTGAGAAAGTGGGTGATTGAGCCTAATAAAGATTGGGTAAGTTGGGTAAGTGGCTCACGCCTGTCATCCTAGCTACTCAGGAGGCTGAGATCTCAGGACCCAGTTCGAAGCCAGCCTGGACAGGAAAGTCTATGAGGTTCTTATTTCCAACTAACCACAGAAAAAGCAGGAAGTGATGCTGAGGCTCAAGTGGTAAAATGCTAGCCTTGAGCACAAGGAGCTTAGGGACAGTGCCCAGACCCAGAGTTTAAGCCCCAGGACCGGCAGGCCAAGGAAATCGGGTGGTATTTGCTTCAGGTGCAGACACTGTTGTGTGCATGCGAAGGCAAGGTCAGGGCATGGAAGGTAGGAAATGGGGAGGGCGTCTTTCCACTGGCAGTTGGCTGAGTGTCCCCTGAGCCTGGGTGGACACCACCATGTACCCTGTGATTGTGCCTGAGGCAGGCTGGGCAAGGGTGTGGAGAGAGGTTGAAAGCTCCCATAGGTGTGGGGGAGATAGACTGAGGAGAGGCACGTGTGCGTGCACGCACACAGACACTGCGATGGGCACACGCCCACACATGCCTGCCGCCTCACCTTCGCGGCGTGCCCTCACCGGCCTTGTCGGCAGTGTGTCATCCATCACCGGCTGTGAGCCACCGGTGCCCTGCTTCCCACCCCTGCTTTTTCCTTCTCTCTTTCTAGGGATGCTCCCTCTGGCCGCTGCACATCAGCACACCCCGCGCACCTTTGCTTCAGAGGTGAGCCCTTCAGCTGTTGGACTTCAAGGCCGGCGCGCCTGTGCGTGGGAGCAGGGGTGCCGTGGAGGCCCACCCCAGTGAGCTTGGCTGTCTCGGGACCTCAGGACCTTCCTGTGCGGGGCTGGCACTCCTCACCCCGGCTTGGCGATGACTCTGTGGTGGAGAAGTCCCTCAAGTCCTTGAAAGACAAGAACAAGAAGCTGGAGGAGGGTGGCCCTGTGTACAGCCCACCCACTAAGGTGGTAGTGAAGCAGTCCCTCGGGCAGAAGGTTCTGGATGAGCTGAAGCACTACTACCATGGCTTCCGCCTGCTCTGGATTGATACGAAGATCGCCGCGCGCATGCTCTGGCGCATCCTCAATGGCCACACGCTGACACGCCGGGAACGCAGGCAGGTAAGGCTGTAGCCTGTCACCTGAGGGGCCTTTCCATCTGTGTTGGGATGCCTTCCCCACTGCACTTGGTAAGGAAAAGGTTAGCAAAACCTCTAACTACGTGGCCTCTTGTGGTACATCTGCTAACCCATGGACCCCACGCCCTGGCTGCCCTCCCACGGCCCTGAGGGTGTGAGCC